GACTGGTTGACGCATGATCATCAGGTGATACCAACTTATGTGTTTTAATAAGTAGGTATAGGACGGGACATGTTGGTCTATCGATTTTAAAGTGCGAAATAACCGATGATTTTAAACCCGCAGCCTTTGCCACACTAACCCGTTGATTGTTTAATTTTCGGTTCTGACTTTAATATTCCTCTTCAGAGGATGGGCAATAGAGGGTAGCATCACGAAGATATTCCGCTGTTATCTCAACATCCAGCTGGCGAGAAATAACTACCAACTCTCCCCCTTATCACTTTATTTCTATTTGATGTTTTTTGCTTGGCCTGATAGCGGAGTCGATCTTGAAGCTCATAAAGGTTGCATGCTATCCTACGCAGGGTCGTTTTAGAAATAGGCTGTGATGGTGCGAAACTTGGGCCCAATTCTAATAGCGAGCGCGCTTTCTCAGGTATTGTTATGCCCCCACTCACGGTCAACCTAGATTTTCTTGGTGCATTATCAACCCTATTTTGACTATTATCAGAAGCGTAAGGAATTCGTTTGCGGTTGTATCTTGACGCTGAGACATGTGAATTACACAAAAGATTTTTGAATTTCCGTTGTAAGGTTATTTTGGCATTAGATCTAATACAATCGCATATCAATATTGACCCACCAACTATCCTCCTCCAAAGGCGAACCTCCAAATACAAAGCACAAAAATGTTCCTTCGTTGCACACTTCTTCATTCTGGCAAACATCTCGTTCTGCTTGCTTCGTAGTGCAGCTCGAAGTAGTTCCATTTCGATGCCTCGTACTTGTTGGCTGCCCTCTGGTTGACCGCATATCTCGTGAGGTCGCTTTCGTTTTATAAACTTCGGCACGACTCGATGTTGAAAACAGCGGCGGAGAAAGTTGATTTGCTGTCTAGCTGTCTCAGAAGACTGTCTCAGTGACAATGGAGTCCAAAACACCAGCGCGAAAACTTCTTGAGACTTTTGGATAAATGCCAAGAACCCTACAATGAATAGCAGGAATGATTGCCCGGAGGTCATACGCGACCTGATCCCGTACGTTCGTATCGATTTTTGATGTGGGATGGTGCAGTCGTCAACCATACGTGGCTATAATCAGCTGTTCTAAACTTCCTCATTGGAAGTCACGAAAAAGCGGTGAGTTTTTCGAGAAGTTGTTGATCATGTAATTACCAAAGAGTCTTTCGTCTTTGTGTAAGTGTTATTGAAGCGTTTGGCCTAGTAGATTGTATATCAGTATACCCTTCAAGGCTCTGAAGAAGGCGATACTGCTGCCGAAACGTCAGCTAGTGTTGTATTGTATTTTTCTATGGAAGTAAATGTATGCTGTTTAAAAACCTCGCGATTGCTGAACAAGAAAACAACGCATTCATATTCCAATGCCGAGGTTAATAGAAAGTCGATCCTGGGAACTATTACAAGATGTACCAGCAGCAAAATACTTCGAAAACCTTCGTGGATGGTAGTTAGGAGAGGAACTGAGTAGATGTGGTGCGGAGATCGGCACATGTGAGGTTAAGTCATGTAGGAATAATAAGAAAAAAGTTTTTTTTTTCGAATAAGAGCAAAGAACTTGTGAATTCGCAGTCAAATCGAAGTATTAGCCAATGAAGTCCCCAAGGAAGGCATTGCTGAGGTTTTTCTGTGGGAATTTTTAGACTGTTACCTTTTCCTCTTTACCTAGTTTATGTGCAAACTATGGAAAAAGAAAAAGTCAAGTGTAGAGAAAATAAATGTGAATAAATAGATCAACTAACGCGATGTTCCGAAGTCGCGAATCGAAAGAGTTTCGCTCTTTTATGTTGAATTCGAAGAATTCGAATAATTCCGATGTTGAAGTAGAAACAGAGGACAAACGGCAGAATGATAGTGACGATGCTCCGAAGCCAGAACTGAACTTGAAATTTGATGTACCAACAGGAATTTCATTGTTCATGCTCATTGATGTCAAGCAAGCGCACTGACATCAAATAGAGAACATTTTTAGCAAACGGTTTTCGAAGAAAGCCCAAAAGACTTAGAAATTGAAGACTAATTTTTCGACATGAAGAAGGAACGGTATTTTAAGATCGGAAAAAAACCTGAAGGAAAAATAACCAAGAATAAGAATGCAGAGAAGCGAAAAAAAAGCACTGAAATAAGATGTCCAAGTAGAATGCAATTGTAATAGAGACAATTACGAGAACAAAGTCAAAGACATCACCTTGTAAGTCGTTTTGTACGGCTCCTGCTCACTGAATTCACTAACAATGGCCGTTAGGGAGGTGACGCCAGTACAGTTTCCATTCGCCACCACATAAAAAAGCAACAATGATGTTTTCATGAATTTCTTTTCTGATCAAAACTGTGTATTCTTAAGCGATGCTGAGATATTTGCAAAACTCCGGACCGCAGGTGTCTGCGGTGTGGAACGAACGCGCTATTTTCTTTCCGGGGAGTTACGCGTCCACCACCACCACACCATACGGGTCCTTTGTTTCGCCTGGTTTTATCGATCTTTTTGCCATCTATGGGTGGTTGCTGATGGCGAAAGAATCGATATAACTAGCTGAGAGACAGGCGAAACGAAGGACCCGCGTGGTGTGGTGGTGGACGCGTTGCTCCCCGGAAAGAAAATAGCGCGTTCGTTCCTCAACGCAGACACCTGCGGTCCGGAGTTTTGCAAATACCTCAGCATCGTTAAAGTTGTATTTCACAATATACCCTGCCGTTTAAAAGAGTAGGCAGTAAATATTAAGCTAAAAATTGTGTATTCTTATTTTCAAAAATCACTAAAACAACATCGGATTTCTATGTAAAAGATTTGAGGACACAGGAAAAGAGCGTATAGAACGAGAAGATCTGAATGGACTCAAAGGATTCGTGGATGCGTTTGTTTACAGAGTTCATGAAACGTTGAACTAATAATGACAAATGCTACCTCGATTTCGAAGTACATCGGAAGCTTGGCGATTACCGAAAAGACGAGTGCCATGGTCGAAATGGCCAGTCGATGACGCAAGGCAAACCGATTTCGGATTTTTGAGATGGTGACGTATCTAGAAAAATCGTCGTGGATTTCAATGACAGTAGAAAATCCGTTGTCTAGTAGGAAAAATAGAAAGTGTTTGAAATTTCGAACCATATTTTTTGCGGTTCTACAAGTCATTTGAGCTTTTTATACAATTTCAAGAGGTAAGCGACTCCTAAATGAAAACTAAAAAACTTCGAAGCATGATGTAGACCGCTACCAAATTCAGAGCGGCCTAGGATCCTTGATTTGACCCTCCCAGAATATGCTCTGGATTAACCACTAATTAATTAATCTCATGCTTAACTAATGGTTAACTGAGAAAATATATACCAAAAATAGGTGAAGATACTGAACTCCACAAAAATCTGCTCTGTCGTGTTTGTTTTAACTCATCGTTATTCTCAGAAGAAAATCATAAAAACAGAACACTGAAGGGCTATTAAAGCATTTTCAATGTTTCTCAGAAGAATGATACGAGGAAATTTGTCGAAAATATTATTAGAGTCATATAAAAGAACTCGATTACCTCTCGAAAGCAGCAGCGACGATGAGGAACGCCGACAGGGAGATGAAGATGTGCGACGCGGTGATGATGACACGCATGTAGGACCACCAAGCTGCGGCAAGCAGCTCGGAGGCAAAGTAGTCCATGTAGAGGTTGACGGGAAACAGCAAAATGTACGCTGCTGAAACGAGCTCTTCAACGAGACCTTCTTCAGTTGTTTTCCAGCTCAGTTCCATCTACAACAAACTCAAGAACACCAAGCAAATCAGATAATTATTTGAAAAACAACACTGTCATAGTGGAAAAACGCATTCGAGATTCGGCGATACAACTGCACTACAGCATTTCTTTCGATGGGAGCGCGTAGCCGAGTGGTGGGAGGCGCCCTGCAATATACATGGGATCGATTTTCGCGCCCTGGGCTCACCGAACCCTCCGGGTCGGCAAATTGGTACCAAGCTTGTCTGAAAGGATAGCAGCGCTGCCTTGATACATCGGTAAGCCACCGTGGTCATTGTAAAGACCAAATATGTATCCAGTCGCCTCCAACCATGCTTAATGAAGTCGAATGCACGGCCTATCCCTCAGGAATTGATCAACGCAGGCAGCTCTATCCTTTTCATGATTGAGAGCAAGACCATAAGGCATAGAGAAGTATTTATTCTGTTCAGTAATAATTCCAAAATCTTTGACTTCTATTCGAACAAAAGCAATGTTGAATTGTTGGGCGTTCAAATTCTGTGACGCTATGATCACTCACCCGACAAAAATGTGTCCGCCAGCGCAAGAAATATCAGGTAGATCAAACTAGTCGATCGATAGCGTCTATTGCTAACCAGAATATAAAACAGGAACACGTTGAATATTACTGATATCGAAGCAATGATTGCACCAGCTACGCCGACGAGGACGAGACTGAAACAGCGATGAGCAAAAAAACAATCAAACATTCCTTGCTTAGAATGCTTAAATATAGAAGTTAATCTCAATAGACATATTAAAAGACACTTACCATTCAAAAAATAGAGCAAAAGGGTTGTGGCCTGTGACACTTTTTCAAATATATTTCTTGAGGTTAAAAGAAGTGTAATGGAGTTTAGTTCTCTCAAACCAATGTCACATCCAATAAGCGAAATTGGTCACCATTAAAGGAAAACCGTTATGGATAAGTCGGAAATTTAGGAAAGGTTTACAAACGACTTGACCATGTGGTGGTGACGAGATAACGTAAACTGCGTTAGAACAGTTTGAAAACCATTTGAAATCTTTTAGCGGAAATCGCTGTCTTGCAAGCACTGGGGAGTAGAGTTCTGCTCTTGAAACTGATTATACCCTAATTAGGTTCGATTCTCTCAAACAAACCGATCGTCGTTTATAACTGTGTGGACAAAAACAGTGAGAATTAAGCGGAAAGACCTGTTGAAAACAGCACTGATGCATTTTTCAGTTTACTTCAATGTAATCAATGTAAAAAAGAAGTGGAGATTATGCTGGTGCCCTTATCAGTGAGGATGGGCCATCCAAGTAAGAAGTGCATCCTGTAGCATTCGGTATTTCACAGCTGGCAAATAGCGTAGCAATATCTTGGAAAACCGACTTTCATTAAAGCCTGGCATGCATACACAACGTTGCTGAGATATTTGCAAAACTCTGGACCGCAGGTGTCTATGGTGGGGAACGAACGCGCTATTGTCCTTTCCGGGGAGTACGCGTTCAACCCCGCTGACGGGTGATTGCTGTGGCAAAAAGATCGATAGAAATAGCTGAGAGACAGGCGAAACGAAGGACCCGCATGGTGTGGTGGTGAACGCGTTACTCCCGGGAAAGGACAATAGCGCGTTCGTTCCCCACCATAGACACCTGCGGTCCAGAGTTTTGCAAATATCTCAGCAACGTTGTGGTTGTATTCCGCTTAGTAACCTGCCATGAAATTTATAGAAGGCAGAAAACAAAACNCCCCGGAAAGGACAATAGCGCGTTCGTTCCCCACCATAGACACCTGCGGTCCAGAGTTTTGCAAATATCTCAGCAACGTTGTGGTTGTATTCCGCTTAGTAACCTGCCATGAAATTTATAGAAGGCAGAAAACAAAACGTTAAACCTGGCATACATAATTAGTACTTGACTGGACTATGAATCAAAGGAATATTTGTCGTTTCCTCTCATTCGTTCTGTCCAGCGATTAACCAAGACGCGAAGTCGTCTTCATCTTTTGCGTCTCATCACCATAAGATGATGCATACTATTCAACAAATTTACAACATTTGAAAGCTTAAAGCTAATGCCAAGTCTTCTCGATGACATAGAACCTTTTATTCATCTCAACAATTTTCATATTCCACTTTGAGCACGTTAGAATAAGATTGGTCTCCTAAGTGATAGTACATTACGATGATCTAGGCACTTCATTTCAATAGTTTTTTGCGCTTCACCCTTTGTCTAATTCTTTCGCACTTACTGTTCAATCCCACTGTGTCGATTTACTAACTAGCCGTGTACCTCAAGAGTCTCGCCTGCAACAGAGAGTTAGGGTAAAGTGGTTAAACATGGGATCGAACGAGCGACCATTGCTCATTGCGAAGCATCTCAAACCACTGTATTCAACAGGCCCGATTGTTATTTATAATTATAGGAGATAATAATGGCAACAAAAGTAATAATAATAATAATAATCAGTTAATTATCATTACTCTTAATTTATAGTTTTCTTGACCCATCTTCACATATGTTACAAGGGCACCTCTCAACACCTTTTGCATTCGATTCGCTTTCTCGCATCCATCGTCCACGAAGTTCTTCGAACTGTTTTTGTGTGCAAACTTAAATGATATTTCAAGGACTTCACGTCGTGATTGTCATTGAATACTGGTCGGATCAACTCTTCCTACAGACCTGAGATAACCGTGTTTAAGCTATTGGAGGAAGTAGACCAATCACAGAGAGAAGTCTGCTACCAAATTTGCGACTCCGAAGGGTAGGGACGGTTGGTGAACAGGCCGCAGGATTGGGCTCGCAGAGTGCTCGTGATTATCGGCATCACTACCAATGCGAGACTTGCTCTATTAACTATAATTACTTATCACTACCATCGCTTTTATCACCTCAGTTACTGAAACAAAAGGTCATATGCCATCTGCATTACCACTAAGGAATTGGTCGAAAAGAGAAGGAAACTGAAGCTTGGTCCTATTGCAACACGCTCACATGGCTAATGCCAGTTGCAGGAGAGCTTTGTAGACAAACTTACAGACGCAGGCAGAATACGGAAGATAGTGCTAAAAGTAGTACAAAAAAAGAACCAATGTGAAAACATGCATCACTGTGGTAAAAATAGCGGTTTCATCTCTATTGAGGCGCATTCAAGTCACACGATAAAACTGATGATGGGGAAATGCTCACAGAATCACTCACCGACTTTCCTCTGGAGGTATAATGGCACAATTTTCCTCCCACCAGTCGTAATCGTAAATTTCCTTTTCGTTTTGGAATCCGCTGTAGTTCATGGTCTAAAGCTATTCTAAATGACTGAATCCAACAATAAAACGGAACATTCACATTGGAAGTGGAAGAAATAAGAATAGGATTAGTGAGAATTCGCAATGACTGTTTCGGAAATTTTAGAATATCAACGGTTTCAAGAGGAATAGCTGTGTACCATCGACTCTAATCAACTGCCTCCGAAGAAGACGAAAAAGTCGAATCGTTAGCTGGAGAATGCTTGATAACAAACTCGTGTTAGCATATCAACGAAACAATAGACATTGACTAATCGTATCGTGGTCAAATGAAAACTGGTTTTCAAAATTAACACAACTTCTGTTACAATTCAGCAATTCGAAACTGAACTAAAAAAAATATTTTCAAAGGATTTACAAGAAAAGCAAAAGGGTGGAATGAGTTCCAAGAGAATGAAGGCGTCCTCATAGATGATCAAGCGGACGTGCTCGTAGCTAACGTCAACTATTTGCACTCGTAGATGGGAATGATTTTAGAGTTAAAGAATGTGACTCGTAGACGTCACTGTCTTCGAATCTGGCCAGCACCATAGATGACGATTACAAGAGAGAGAAAGAGTGGAAATTGTGCTGCGGCTCGCACTAGCAGTGAAAAGGGATTACCCAAATAAACAAACATATGCGGAAAATGATATTACAAACCTACATTAATTTCCGAACAACCTATTACCTACAGTATAGATAAAGAACAAAAATGAGTGATAAAGCTTCCAGCGAAGAGATGCGCCATCCATTCGATTTCATCAAGCATCGTTAGAAGTGACTGAATGCATATGTGGACTATACAAAGACTAGCGGTGACCCACTGTGTGCTACGTCAGTGCTGCTATGCTAGTAGATCAGCCTGGTACCAATTTTACGACCCCGGAGAGATGAAAAGCTTGTTGAGCCCAGCTCGGTGGATCGCACCAACGAACACGTGCAAATTCTAGGACACCACTAATCAGTGCGCTATATGCACACTAAAATAAAGGATAGAGGGATAAAACGTGCGATGTGCTATGAGAAATGTACATGAATTTGTCTTTATCTTTTTTCTATACAAAGTGTTGCTGATTATCACATCCGTGATTTCTTCCACCAGTATGGCAAAAATTTGGGACCCCGAAACGGTAGAAAGTTTGGTGTTCAAGCGGCGCAGGATTCAACCAATCCTGCTTGTATCACGCAGCATTTCTAACCCCTATAATATACCTTCAACGAACAAGATATAAGGGCAAAAAGTGTAAATTGAGCAAGCGAAGTGAAGTATAGCGAGAACGACTTTGCTGCAAATGGAAGCCGTTGACAAAACAACTCAACATAAAACGGTAAGAATCGGTGGTGGTTTGGTGTTGCTACTAATACGCATTCAATTATTAAAGAAAAAGAGCAAATATTACACAAAGTCGCCATATCTAGCCAGGAAAATAGGTATACAGATGAAAGATGGAGCGAAGGATGTTGTGGTGGCAATGTGGCCAATCCACAGGATTCAAAACAAAGACCTATAAAGAGAGATAGAAGCAGTGAACATACGATTTGACGATTCCCTAAAAGACCGAAAGGACGTAAAAACGTGTGCAGAAGAACAGTGCAGAGCCCCTGCATAAAGTTTCTGTCGTCAAAGATGGCGTCGATGAAGCGCCGCTGTTATGGAATGGGTAGAAGGTGAATCGAAGAATTTGAAAGGCTATGCCAGTGAATAAAAGTAGCAGTCATCAATAATTACACCTACCAAAGCGGTGAACGAATTTTCTAAATCTTTCTAATTAGTTACTCCATCGACTATCAAATACGAATCGTGAAGAATCTCACAGTTGTGTTCTTTTCCACATTTTACGACCACTATTTGACTAGGGTTATGGATCAGCTCTTTCACTAAGTGGCAACGGCCAGTGTACCAATCAGATGCTTTGTTGGATTTCAGGTGAAGGGCCGCTAAAGTAATCACTTCAGCTTAAGTAGTATTTAAAAATGGACTTGTGGGTTAAAGAAGTGGAGGATGGACTGCTTTGCTGCCAATGTGGAAACGTTGTTACTCCATGAAGAGGTAGATAGTATAATCACGTTCGCCATGGCGGCATGTTGACAACACTAATTTCTTTTTTGGCTTCTTTGGCTAAAACTTAGGAATTTTCAGCTACCGGGTCCTGAAGAGTACACAATTAGCAACTTTTGACGTAACTCTATTCATGAATGAATATATTTGCGTCAATACAAATTTAACGCAAAAATCGACTCCGGCAAAACAGAATGACGGATTCTCTTCAGTCCACCAACAAAACAAGCCGGACAAATTTCGCCCATCACTCATCGCCATTCAGAAAGTAGCAAGCACTTCACGCAGCCATTCAACGACATAGGGAGTGCACCTTGCAAAATATGGTTATAATAAAGAAATTAGGCAATAACATTTGCTGTTTTCCTCAACGTGAGGTCTGGTTTGGTTTGGTAATGCAGGACATTGGACGGGTTGAGCGCCAGGCGTAAGAGTCAATTACGGCCGCCGAACCAACCTCCTTTTTCCTCACATTACAAGTGAAAAACAGCAACAAATTACTCACCTTGAAGTGAAGCTTTCCATGACGACGAATGTGAAGGAAACGTTGTGGAGAAAAATGCAACAGCAGCTTCATTTCATTAAACATTACATAATTAGAAGTACAATATACTTCTAAAAAAAAGAAGAAAAAATGGAGACAAACAAGGCGCGGCATGGAAGGTAGTCTACCTGTCGGGTTGGTTACCATTATAGGATGGAGCAAAGGCCAGTTCAAAAATGTTAGAGCCGATTCTGATAGGAAATCAACTAAG